CAGCAGCCTGCGGGCGGAAGGGAATGGAAACATGATAGAGCTGGGGAGGGCTGCGCCGGCATGGGACACAGGGTCGGGCTTGGGGTAGCTGAGCTGCACATTTGTAGTTGGCCATTTTCCCCCTTGGTGGAGGGCCAGCCTGGCCCCTGAGGGCCATTTTTGTCACCAGTCTGGAGCCTGGCGTGGGCCCCTTCCCAGCATGGGGGACAGGGGTGGCCCCCCCCCCCGCCACTGGCAGGTACCCACCTCCTTGACAGTGCAGACCAGGTTCCCATAGCAGAAGAAAATGACCGTCAGCGGGATCATGAAGTGAACCACAAACATGTAGATGACGAAAGATTCGTTGTTGATCTCTGGCTTCAGAGTGTAATAGTCGATCCCGCATGAGCACTGCATGCCTTCGGGGATGTACCTGCAAGGTGAGCCAGGGAGGTCAGCGCCCAGCGGAGGAGATCGGCTGGGGGGCAGGGGCCCACCGCGCGCGCCCCTTTTTTTGCACCGGGCACAGCAGCCTCCCTACCTGGACCAGCCGAAGAGTGGGGGAGCTGCGCACGCCAAGGCCATGATCCAGGAGAAGGCAACGCCCATGATGGCATGGTTCTCCCCGAAGCGGAAGTTGCTCATGGGCTTGCAGACCACTACGTATCTTTCGACAGCCAGGACAACCAGCGACCAGAGAGCAATTTCACCTGCACCAACGAGAGAGAGGGATGGGGACACAGGGGCTTTGAGCAACCGGAGGAGAAAATCACACTGATGCCAGCACGAGGCCTCCTTGGGCTGTTGTTCCCGAGGAAGACTCAGATTTACTGAGCAGGTAAATCAACACCAAGGGTTCGGAAAGAGAAATGAATAAAGGCCAAGTGCAGCTGCAGTAGGAAGGTATGAGAAGGCACCTCTCGCTGACTGACCGTAACTGCTTTGCTGCTCTGTTCTGAGATCCATGCCTGGACCCTACCACTTGTCCCAGACAGCACCTGCAAGTCTACGGTTCCACTTTGAGATGCAGCGAGTGCCCAGGATTTCCCCTCACTACCCACAGCTTCCCAGGAAACTTGTGCCGCAAGGACCAAACCAGTAAAACAGCTGCCTGTGGCTGAAGCCCGAGCTGAACAGAGGAGAGCATTTTTAGACATACAATTTTTATTTAACATCTGTTTCGGTCAAAGCCTGGCTGGCAGGGGGAGGAGAGCCAGCTTTGCTAGCCTGCACCACCCTGCACCGCATCACAGCGAATGACAGACTCAGCCCCACGAAACAGGAGGAACAAATTTGTCATCTCTCAAGTCAGAAAGCAAGCCAAAAAGATGTGCAAATCCAACAACTGCAAAATCTGCTACTGGTTGCTTTTCATTGCTGCACTGTTGTTCTCAGGATACCGAGCAGGTGGCTACCAAAATAAGGTTTAAAAAAAAAAAAAAAGGTGTCATTTGTCACTTTCTTCACCTCCCACCGTGACACACTGCAACTGCCTTGGCCCACATCAGCAACAGACCGAGGACCTTCCAGATTCCGTGTTTTTCCAAGATCATCTGGGCGTCCTCCCTCCTCCTAAAATTCAGGGCTATTCCTAGCAGAAGATTTTTGAATATTTGGAAAACTTACCGCCCAGTGTAGCAAAGAAGCCTTCAATGTAGCACCCTGTTACTCCAAAGACAAAGTACCCGTTCATCGAAGTGTACATGGTGGTCGTGAAGCCTCCAAAGACCATGAAGAGGTCAGCGACCGCCAGGTTCAGAAGGATGTAGTTTAGAGGTGTCCGGAGCTTCTTGTGCTGGATGGTGACGTACAGCGTGAGGAAGTTGACAGGGAAGCCGAGCAGAATCAGCATGAACATGTAGGCAGCCAGCGCCGAGAACTTCCAGGGCTCAGCCAGGTAGTACTGGGGGTACTCAAAGGGGCTCCGCACCACCCCGGTCTTGTTGGACATGGGCACGTAGAAGTCTTGGCCTTCTGTCCCGTTCATGGTTGCGGTTCGTGAGGTGCCTTTTGCTCTTACTCAGGGGTGTTGTTTGAGCGCGGGGGGATCGCCTCTGAAGTGGGGCTCCCGCCACCTCTCAGCCTTCGCCGTCACCCCAAGGAGAAGCAGCTACGCTCACCTCTGCAGGGCGTCCCTTATAAAGTGCCCCTGGGGTAAGCTCCAGGCATTGGTGTCAGCGCGATTAGGGCTTAGAGAGTTATTAATCATAATCATCCAGGGGTAATTGGCTTTCCTGGGAAGGTATTAAGGTGACACCTGTTTCTGGCCTGCGCTGTCATTGTTGGAGACCACGGCTCATGGTCATATATAAAGAGGTAGCTCTGCACCACACCTTTCATTTGGGGGGGGCCCAAAACAGATGGCAGCTCCACTCACGCAGCCTTGCTCCTCAGCATGGCTGTGCTCCCCAGGGAGCAAGGGTCTTCGTGGGGGGCCTGCACCCATGGCAGTCTTTGCACCCCGTGATCCAGAGCTGGACATCCTTGGCTCACGCTGCCATTGCCCAGGGGCCACTTGCTCCCTCCACCCAAGGCCCCCAGTCCACCCTCCACGGACACTTGGGTGCGCTGCCCATCCGTGTGGAATGCCTGTTTCCCCACAGAGGGGCACCAGGAATGGGATGCATTGTCATCGGGGTGCGAGCCGGAGGGTGCCAGGGGAGGAGGAGGCACACGGGGATCCTTCTCTTGGTTGTGCTTTCTCGTGGCTCGGGCTGAGCTTTCAGCTCTTGCCAACAAACAGAAGCGCCTTTCTGTCCCTCCATAACAGGAGGGAAGTTTGCAGTTCAGAACCCCATGACTGTGGGTTTGAGGGCTGCAGATGGTGGCTGGGCAGGTGTGGTGTGATGTCATGTGGTCCGTCAGTGACAGAGAGGTGTCCCAGGGCCATTCTTACAATGGGAGAGTGGTCCATGACACCAGCTAGTCCCCACTGGAGAGCCGTTCCCACCACAACTGCCATTCCCCGTGGGAGGCTGCAAAAGGGTGCTCTTGGGCAGCACGAGCATCTCCAACCCTTCTTCCACATGCTCTCGGCCACCTCCTTTCTGCTACAGGATTTGGCTGGGAAGGTTTGACCACCACCACGAAACACTGACCCCGCTGGCAGGTTTCCAGTTGTACCATCTCCTTTGTGCCTGGCTTTGTATGTGGTTTGGGTCACGCCAATTGCATTGGTAACACCTAACAAATAACCTAGTCCATCTGTCCTGGACAGGCATCGTTCTGCACTGGGGCTGAGAAGGCTGCTGGACCAGGGCACTGAAGGGAGCTCCTGAGCTGAAGCCAATGCTCAACTTCATATGCTGGTTGACAGATATCTTCGGTCTCCCCAAAACCTTGCAGAATTGTCAAATTCCACAGGGGAATCCGTTGTTGGAGCCTCCTATGTTCTCCATGTCTCTCTGCCTCCTCACTTACTGCACTCCATTGTGCTTGAAATGTCCTTTGTGCCAGCTAGCAATTGAGTTAGACGTTACCTTTTCTTAATTTTTCAGAGGCAGCGGGACAGGACGTACAGCAGAGCAAGCACAATGAAGCCAACCACAGAGGATCTCTCTTCTGGAGAAGGTGGTTCCTTACAGTTTGCACCACCATGGTTAATCTTTTAAACTTGAAAGCTATTTTCCCCATCTCTTTTTTTGCAACCCCTGTTTATCACCTTTCTTGGTAGCAGTCGTTAACGTTCCAGCTGGCAGGCAGGTACCAGCTGGTTCCCCCGCAGAGGCCAGGCAAGGACAGTCTGCTCTGCCCCTTGGTACGGGACGGGCTGGGGGGGACCTGAGCAGCTCCCCGTGCCGTTTCGGCTGCATCCCGGGGCTGAGCTGAGCACTCCTTGCAGCCAGGAGCGGAGGATGGGGCAATCATGAGTGCCATGTCCAGCACGGGAGGATGGCCAGAGCCGCCGGAGTTCATGGGTGTGAGGTGGGCAGAAGCTCACATCCTCTTGGCCTTAATAAACTTCCTTCTGTCCTGGCCCAGTTGTTACTGGTGTTCCCTGTGGGTTAGCTTAGCACATGCAAAAAGTTTAAAAGAAAAAAGCACAAAGCGCTGTATTCTCTTTAAAGAACAGACCGAGCCTTCACTCTGAGTGGGGAGGGTCTGAGGGAGCTGAAGTGCTGGCGCCACGGGCAAAGACAGACCTGGCTGGCTGTAGCCAAAGGTGGGCCACGATCCCTCGGCACAGTCCCAAAGGTCTTCCTTCACGTTAACGTGAAAACACCACGTCCTCACACACGCTCTGCTCATCCTAAGTCCCTCTCAATTAACTTTTCACACGTGTTGCCAAGACCAGAGCAGTGCCACTGCCTAACTGCAAATGCAGCTGTTCATACTTGTACCTGGGCATACAAGAAGGATTAAAGGTTTATCTTCCCAATACACAAATATGCCACCTTAAGCTCTGATGCAATAAGCCACTGCTGAGGTCAGCAGCTGCTGCTCGGAGCTTAGGGCCTGGCGTGCGTCACCACTGGAGTACAGCAGTGGGACAGGCAAGTCGTAATGGGGTGGAACAGTGCAAATCGAAGAAAACAGTTGGTCGACCACTGACAGTAGCTTCAGACAAAAGCACTGTGGTGGGACTTGTTGTACATCCAGGGACTTCGTGTCATGAAGGTACCCGAGAGCTTCGACGGCACAGGGCAGTCTGGAACTAGAACATCTTCACAACGTACGAAATGTGTTGGGTAGGCTTTTGCCTGGAGAAGCCCAATACACTTTTTAAACCTAGCTGTATTCACGGAGTTGTTTAAAAAAGGAAAAAAGCTTCCTTGCTTGATCCATTTTGTCTGTGTGTCACAGCAAGCAAGCCCTATCTATTTATTTTTATAATTTTTCATTCCCAATAGCTCTACAAAGCCAGCTCAGTTCCAGGAGAATGAGCCGAATTCCATTCTGGCTTCACATCTCAAACAGCATTGTTTATCCATGTCAGTCGCAAAGTCTTCATTGCAAACAGTGACAGATGAGTCAAAAAGCAGACGAGCAGTAATTAGAACAGAATGTTTTTAAAGTGGTAAATTAAGCAAACTTGGTCAGGAAGCACTGAGGGACTCAGAAACCCTGTGGTGCCACTGCAGAGGGTCACTCTCGAGAGGAACTCACGCAGACGTGGAGACACCGCTGGTTTCACGCGCAAAGCGCTGCTCACGTGGTAGCTGCTTTACCTCAGCCAACAGCTTAAGACAGTAAAGTAGAATATCATTTCCCACTCAAAACAAAGGGAGGCTGTGACAGACGGGATGTCATAACAATAGAACTCATGGTAACATGGGCACAATTTACACTGGATTAAAGTCAAGAGATCTATTGCTTTTGAGCTCAAATCCAGCCCAGCTGGTTACCTACACAAATTCTCCTGCTGTCAGAGAACTACTCGGTGACTGTCCTTGGAGGATTAAGCTACTTGGGAGTACAGCAGGGCTGGGACTGGCTGGGATGGAGTTAACTTTCCTCATAGCAGCCACGTGGTGCCGAGTTTTGGATTTGTCTGACCCAGCGCTGATAACATAGCAGGGGTGTAGCTATAGCTGAGCGCAGCACTGAGGTTTCCCTTTCCCTGCGACAGGCCAGAGCTGGGACAGAGCTGGGACAGCTGGCCAAAGGGGTATTCCACACCAGATGATGTCGTGCTCAGAAATAAAAGCTCAGGGAAAGGAGGAAGAAGGGAGGATGTTGTGTTTGTGGTGTTTGCCTTCCCAAATAACCGTTACTCATACTCTCCAAGAAGCAGGCTGGACATCTGCCTACCACAAGGAAGTGGTGAACAAATTCCTTATTGCTTTGCTTGCACGTACAGCTTGGCTTTGCTTACTAAACTGTCTTTATCTCAACGCGTGAGCTTTTTTGCCTTCGCTCTTCTGATTTTTCTCCCCAGTCCTGCAGGGAGTGGGGAGGAAGTGACAAACTACTGCGTGGGGGATTAGTTGCTGCTGGGACTGGCCCACCGTGCTTGGTCAAGCAGCTGCATCATTAAAGTCCCCTCAGGCTCAGCAAGAGGCTCAAGTAGAAGGTGGCAGCCCCATCTCTTCTCACCTCTACATGCTGCTTGCCTGTGGCTCTGGACTGAAACAATGCTGGAGAAATACTGCTCAGAAATACTCCTTCAGCACATCGTTCTGCTGGTCGGCACACAGCCAAGGGATCTGCGCAAGCTGAGGCAGGCGCGTGCGCCCACGCTACAAAGGTACGCTCGGATCGCAAGCGCCGCAAGGACTGACAGGATGCCAGGAGTGGTGGGAACTATCCCGATTTCAGTACTGCAGCACGTCACGACACGTACGATTTTCTCAGCAGACAACGAAAAGCTCTCCTGTCTTGTGTATGGAGGGGGTGCTGTGGGGATCTGCGCAAGCTGAGGCAGGCGCGTGCGCCCACGCTACAAAGGTACGCTCGGATCGCAAGCGCCGCAAGGACTGACAGGATGCCAGGAGTGGTGGGAACTATCCCGATTTCAGTACTGCAGCACGTCACGACACGTACGATTTTCTCAGCAGACAACGAAAAGCTCTCCTGTCTTGTGTATGGAGGGGGTGCTGTGGGAAACCACTGAGCC